GGGCCGGACCCCATCCCGTGTCGGAGGGGACACAAGCTGCCGCCTGCGCCGCCTCCGCCGCTCGCCTTCCCCGGCGCAACTCCAGCGAGCGGAGACTGACAAAGCACACGGCTCCACGCTAGCTCTTGCACATGGATGTGTATTTTAATAAAAATAATTCTGTCAATATACAGCAGAACGTCGATTTACCATATTTCCAGTATATTTTCATAGGCTTTTTCTCAGTTAAAATCCCCCCCCTCCCCTTTTCGAAGTTTTCATGCGAAGCATCAGATAACTTAAGTCACAAATACTAAGCTTAGACTGAACCAATGTGCACAATTTGTGTAATGTCCATTTAGCCGATGTTGTACCAAAGAGGAGAATAAACCCCCTCCAAAGGCGATGAGAAGTCTGGAGCGGCAGAGGGAGATCTGCTCTGTCGCAGCCCAACGGCGGCCGTTCCTCCAGGGCTGGTTGGAAACCTGCAAAGACCTCGCACCCCACGCTCCAGCCGAGCATTTCATACCTGAGTTTTGAGCAACCAGCAGAAGAGAGTTAACTGCGTGGTGGGCAGGTCCTGGGGCTTGCACCGCCAAACAGGTTGCGTGCAAGAGCTTCAGGTGCCGGCAGCCTCCTCCTGCCTCCCCTGGCTGGAGAGCCACGAAGAGCGTGCACAGGTAGGACCGAGAGAGAGAATCCCAATCAAACGCCCGTGCAGAGTCCTTGGTCTGGAAGAGTCACCACACTTCTATTTTTAAAATTTTCTTTAAAATTCTGATTATCCCCAGAGCCGCTGCTGCTTCTCCTTTCTCCAAGTTTGAGCTCGTGAGAAGCCCAGCCTGCAAAAAACCCCTGTGCTCCCTCCCGGGGGAAGGATGCAGCTAAAGCCCTCCCGAACAAAGGGGTCAGAGCACGTGCCTGGACCAAAGTGGAGTGACCAGAGAAAAGGTCTCTGCCTGGCCGGGGGAAGTTCAACAAGGAGCAGAGGTCTGCATGGCCTCCAGGAATGTTTCTGCGGCGATGTGAGTGTAAATCCCACATGGGACTCAGCTTCTTGCGAACAGGAGAGAGTTAAGCCTCCCTCTGGGAAATAAAACAGCTGACGGGACGTGTGCTCCTCAAGCCTGGATGAACCCTCGGCTTGCCGGGCACTGCTACAGCTCAAGGCTGCAGGCTCTGAGCTCTGGTGTGGGATGCAGGGAGAGGGACAGACACGCCACGTTCACTCATCCATCACCTGCCACCTCTTGTCGCAGGGAAGGATGGTGGAGAGCAGCTAGTGCTTCCTCTGGAAGAGGCCTCCAGGCTCTCAACCACCCCCCTTTCCTCCCCAAATCTGCTGTAGCTCCCCCCACGCACGCCCCGCCAACACTTCCTCCAGCTCTCTGACCTACACAGCAGACAGGACGTGGCTCACAGCCAGCTTTCGGCTCCGAGTAAGAGCTGCTGCACTGCAGTTCCCTCCATCACTCATTCTTCTGGGGCAGAAGGGTCCCAGCAGCACACAGCACACGTCCCCTGTCATGTCCCCCCCTCCGGCCCTTTTGCAGAAACATCTAGGGACAGAGATATACAGCTGGAGTCCCAACACCAGCTCTCTACAAGAGACCTGCTCCCCTCCGGATCCACCGCGCAGGCTGCTCTAACACAGGCAGGGTTTGAAGGAAGTTGCTCCTTCTGCAAAGGGGACTCCTGGGTGGACCAAGACCACCTTTCCAAGGAACGCGTTCCTTCTCTCATGCCGTGACCAGCTCCACGGGGCCTCACTGCGCCCAGGACTGAAGCGTGAAGGACCTCCCCGCTTGCTGCCCTGTGGGGCAGTCGAAGACTGTGCACTGCTTCTTCAGGGAAAGAACTTCCCAATACCGTGTTGTGCACCATGTAGCGCCATGGCATTTACACACTGCTGCGTAGCCTGGCTATCACGGTTCACCTTCTCAATCAACCTCACGACGGCAGAAGGAACTCTGAAACTTGCACCTAAGCAACACGTGCTACGTGAGTATTAAGGTACCAAATGCACAGCAGCATCACAGCAATCAAACGACGTTTGCTTTGCTGGAGAAGGAGGCAGTTCATCCTGCCTGATGCCTGAGGAGGAAAATGATAAATTCAATCCCCAGAGCTAGTTACACCAGCTCCGCTTGTTCCAGTTGTTCAAGGGAGCCTCAAGAACAAAGTTATTTAAAAAATGGTAAAGATGCCTTAATAAGACTACGTGAAAAATAAGGACACAGCTTGAGGACAGGTAGAGAGGTCACTGTAAAAA